AAGTTCGGACAGAGTTGAAATTCTAAAAATTATTATAGTTTTGTGTAGAGGGAGATTGATTACTGAATATTCGTTCACATAGAAGCTACACCGAACACATACAATAGAAATAATGACCCATCATCAATACCAAAAATATGGAAAATTTTACTAACAATCAAATTAAGAGATGAAAAATGATGGAGTTCATATAACTGAAGTTAGAAAAACGTGTGAGTAAATCGATATGATGAATGTGAGCAATAAAGTATGCTTGAAACTTAGTCAACAGTAAATATTACGGTATAACACTGTGTGACTTTAGCAAAATAAATTTGCTCCATAATGGAATTATGCTCTACCACAGTACCCAATTACTATTCTTATATGAATGCTGGTAAAAAAAATATCGTTCATAAATCATAAGCTCAAAAAAAATAATATTCACAAATACCTTTGTGAAATCAGATTGTTAAGAGCAAAAGTGAAACAATGCAAAATAATATATGCACACAAGCGTGTGACATCCGACTATTCCCACATAAACGTATAACAGGTCATTCGCATTGACACTTTCACTTATTCGTTCATTCACACATGTGGATATCCACTCAATGACGTCACAGCCGTCCTAACGACTGATTCTGAGTTCTCGTCACAGTAAAACCACAATGACACATTGTAGATTGCAGATACATTCGACCGACGAGTCTCAATTAAGATGAAATGAGGATCGTGGATGACTTCCACTGTAATTCATCATCCACACCAAATAAAGTCATGTAGAAAAGTCACTGTAATCACTAGCAGTAAAAAAGAAGTTTGTGAATTTCAGAGCAACAATCTTTGAATGATTGAAATGCGATTCGCTCCCGTCAAATGTAAGATGATGAGGCTATAGGACTGGACTACATTGACTCCTAGCTTAAAGATTGGCAGCAAAGTGCTAGGATGTATTGACCGCTTCATTTATTTGGGAAGTTGCACCTGCCAACACCAGGGGATTGATTGCTCACGAAATCTCACCAGGGATACAGAAGATTCGTTTGGCATTTGCCAACTAACGCCTTCTCTGGTTTAGTAGACGTGATATCCAGCTGGCTGTCGAACAAAGGACCTGTGTCCTGCTCAGCAGTTCGCTGCATCCTCCTTTATGGCTGTGAGAATGACACAGTCATTCAAGATGGAAGATAAGAAAATACCGGTTAGCTGTCTTTGACCACAAGTGTCTGTGTTCTATCTCCTATGTGTGTTAGGTAGTATAATAGAATGAGCAATATTGAGGTTAAGCGTCCAGTGAGTGCATAGTCAAGGAGGGGAAATCACGGAATATACACATTTGATCGTAGGGAATAATAAAAAAATGGTTGCAGGAATGAAAATTTTCTTTTCAACGAATTCATCAACTAGGCTGTACATTTGTGTATTTATAATCAGTGGGTGGGAAAATTCCAGAATAATTTCCGGTCAAAGGTCAAATTAATAAAATTACAAGTGGGAATTAAAATGCCGTAATAAACAGGGGGGACGGATCAAACAAAGTAGCATCATAATTACTGAAGAGATTGATATATTGTGTAATTAGGGGTTAGACGTGTTGAAATAAGAAAACAAACAGGATGTTTGCATAAAAATCTAGTGGGAGTATCACCAATGTGACGAATAATTGTCTATGCAATTAGGGATAAAATATGTAGAAATAGTAAAATGACAAAATAGGCAGGAAGTCCGGATATGGAAATATAGTAGTGTAAACAGGGATTAAAAAATACTTAAAAATAACATGAATAATTAGGGAGTTTAGATAAGAAAGGTAATGGGATAGTCACTATTAAAAGAATTACCTGTTTATGATAGCCAAGGCAGGGACAAGGGTTGGACGTATTCGTTTTGGATACGTAGTGTGGGTTTGAGCTTTTGGATGGCTAGTGCCTCGGGGAAATCAATCGACGCGGTTGTGAAGCAGCTGCGTCGACTGAGAGAGATGGTTAGGTCATGTATTATGCATGCATCCCTAACCACCGCCTTTCTCGAGGGGCAATGTCAGCTGACTGACATAGGATGGATTAGGTTGCAAAGAGAAACAGCTAGTGGTGGTAAACCAAAACATGGCTTCATCAGTCAATAAAATCCACAACAGTTAGTTTAAGCCAGCCATGAAGGGAGATGTAGACTTACTTCCAACCTGGTCGGGGTCCTTACGATTATAAAAACTAATGAAGGCTGGAGACCACTGGTGACATGGCTAGCTCAAAATCGTCGTTGTCAATAGCTGGCGCAGATGCATTCACTTTGTTGTTTATCATATCCAATAAAACTCTATTGTTCCTCCATATTACTCTTCTTTTTACCCCAAACTTCTGTTTATTGTCTCCTTTGGGGAATCTCTCTTTTCTTGCTTTGTGTGGCAAATGGAATGTGGCAACTCGAAGTGCTGCACATCTATGCAAAGTTCTACGTTGAAACTAGCCAGTCAGTCTTACAAATTAAACTGATAAACCACTGTGAAAAGCTAAGCATTTTAATTGACAATTCAAAAATGATATCAATAATAATAGCAACAACAACAACAATGATTTATGATGTAACTTACTTTCCTTCAAAGATTGTACGACTTAGTGTGATTATATAACCGGCACCACCATCATCTAGATAAGGACCAGTCGCTACCAATCGTCCAGGCATTGCTAGAGCACGTTTATACCAAATTCGATTGCTTGGATCATAGGTATGTGATAACAATGTGCCAGGGTAGACAAGCATAGCACCTGTGTTTGTAGCCACATATCTAAGATAAAAGCATCATGTATGCATGTATGTATGTATGTAAACGGAATCTTAAATTAAATATAATGAATTAATAATGCATATTATGTTTAGAAAAGGAAATATATTCAAAAGGTTTTATTACAATGCAGTTGGAAGTAGTTAACACTAACTAGAGTTGACATTTCAAGACACCGTAGTTGAAAAAGAGGAATTTTTCGAACTTCAAGGTTAAAGACTGATACGGGTTCATACACACTTTGGGTATATACAAGCCATAAAGTCATTCATATAAATCCCTACAACAGGATTATGAATTTAACAATTATCAGCCGACCGTGGGGTCTGGTCCCAGTGACTGAATGGTCTAAGGGCTCGCTTTGTAACCGTAACGTCCTGGATTCAAACCCTGACGGTAGGTGCGTACTGCTGAAGAGTCTCTAACTAGGACCGAACAGCTCTCCAGTACTCCTTGGTTCGTCAATGGTCAGCTCTTGATCAGATCTGTACTATGAAAACAACTGGATTCAAGCCAAACCGGTGAACAATAATTTGATTCAATGCTCCAGAGTTTCACTGTTGACTGGACTAAGCGCCACTATCGACTAATCAATATAATTTGTTCTCATAATATAATGACCAATCTCTACAATGCTGACATGTTTCATACAAGACTGAATTCTACTTCGGAAGTCATTTCTAGAACTGTTAGGAAAACAGAACTAGAAGTATACAGTCATCGAAATGTATTAAGATGTCAGTGCACGACTAAGAGCGTGTCAGATCTAAATTATTAGTTTTCTTTATGCATGCAGAAATGGCTTGAATATGCAGTTCAAAAGTGCAGATTAGTTTCCACTAACACACATCAGCGGAATGACGTCAGTTAGAGAACTAGTGAAAACCAGGTGGCACTCGAAAGTTTCTTCATTCTGATTTGAGACTCTCCATCAGGACGCACTCAGGAACCAACTGAAGATGGAACTCAGGAGCTGCAATTTATCAGGCTGGCCCATTGGTCATTCAGCCACTGGGATGGGATCCAATGGGCCTATGAATTCCGATCTCCATAGATTTGTGACACATTGCGACACCGCCATTAATGAAGAATCCCAGACTAGGACGAAACAGTTTTCCAGTAGTGTCTAATTTTCAACAAATTTCTAACCGATATCATTCCGTAATCTAACTCGAAGTAAATCAATTCTATGTAAACCAACACTTGGAAATACACCACTTTTGGTACTCATAGTATACTCGTCTAGTATTTTAAAAAAGTGGGACAACCATCAGGCAGTTCCATATCACAATGATCCAATGACCTACACAGGTTTGAATGTCCCCGTAGGTACTGTTATGCTAAAAAGATCATTTGTTTAAGATCTAGGCTGAAAGCAATTATCACTATATGGTGTAATCTGCCTAGCGTACGTCCAATTAATCCATTTCCACTTTCTTTGTTGGGTAAAGGGTCCTTGATTGGTTCATTGTCAGAGTTGTGTGTTGCTTATGCTTTTCGGTCAGCTATCTGATCACTGGTACAGGGACAGCGAAGATCAGCTGTTGATGAAAGTGTAGTGAGGGCTGGCTGCTAGCCAAAATTGGAAGATAGTAACTTACGTCAAAGTGCGTCGGTGGCACAGCCGTTAGGATGCTCGCCGACCATGCGCATGGACCAGGGTTTGATCCCCGGTCGACACACTCCTTTACCTCGCTAAGTCAGAAATAATGCTGGTGAAGAGGAAAGGTTGTGCATGAGGCTAGCAACCCCATCCTGTGAAATAAACACTGCTACAGAAACTTCAAGCCTCTAGCTTGAAGCCCTATGTTCCACTGGGGAACGTGAGGGAAAAAAAATTTACATCAATGTGTACGTTCCCAATATTGGTCGTGAGAAAAATAAAAACACAGACTGACTCAACAACCAATCACAGCAGACTTTGAGTAGGCGGATACAACTTGCAGATAGATAATCTGAACTTCAAGAAACGGCCACAAAGAGATGAAAGATTAACGTTCAGCGAGAAACCACCAATCAGGAGACTACGTTTGTCTGCTAACAATAATCGATAATAATGTACATGAAAATCTATAAATATGTGTTGATTTCATAAATAAACGATCTGTTGCCTGGCCGTTGTCTTCTGTTGTTACAAAAGTCTGAAGTAGTCTGTTGGAATTACTTTTGGTGACATGTCAAGTCTCTGAATCCTACAGAAGCCCTGAATGACTTGGTAATAATATCAAGACCAGTATATTGAAGTAATACTAACAACACAGCACAAATCAATTGGGTAAGCGTAACTAATAGTAAAATCATCTCCCAAAGTGCACATGTGGACAGTAAATTAAGGACGAAAACTTAATAAGCGAAAAGATTGCAGAATGCTTTAAAACACTTTTGACTAAAAGGTGCTTCTCCTGGGAGGAAACCGAAAAAAAAAGGGGAAAACATACCATCCACCAACAAAAGCAACAAAAGGAACGATAAGGCAACAAACAGTAAATGTAGTACACTTGGTCAATCAAAAACATACCGTCTAATTATGAAGTCTCTCAGTTCACTAACATGACTTCGATGCATCCAAAATTTTCCAATTCTTTCTACAATTGCTACAGAGGATCGAATCGATGGACTACTGCCAGTACTGGCACTGCTACTGCTGCTGCTGCTGGTACTACTACCAGCTAGTCCAGGATCTGAGATCAATACAGTATGATCGAATAGATAGGCGACAAGATGACGAATATCATTAATGTCTTCTAAATAGCCTTGGGTTAAACGAGTAAATGGTCGGGCGAATGCACGCGGAGATAAGTAAACAGTTCCAAAACCTTGAAAAGGATTAGCAGAGATTAAATGAACAAACATGAAGCCAACAAAAACTAGAGAATAAAAAGTAAATAAGGGGAGTAACTGTATACCTCATCCTAATAATAACCTTGAATAGAGTAAGGACAACAAGTGTAAAATCTTGGCATTTACCAACCAAGGTTAGAATCCCTTAGTCGTAAGCAAATGCATAAGAATGCAACCAAAAACTTCCCACTCTATCTTTACAATATCTGCGCTTCAGTACGACCAGTTACACTGGCAGACATAATTGACGATTAAATGAGATGGAAATTTATTCGCATTCGATAGCCATAACATGTTACAGCTTTCTAGCTGTACGCATCCACTACAAAGTGATATACGATCTGCACTTGATTGAATCAGCTCTTTTGCCACATTTGACAACAAACAGATGTGAGTCGAAGATGTACTCTATTAAGGAATCGAGAATTGAAGAGTCGCGAGCTAGGACGAAACAGTTGTCAGATTACTCCCAGGTTTTCTAATGGTTATCTAACCAACGTCACCTCATGATGGAATCATGTAACTAATCAAACCGCCGCAAACCAACACTTGAATGGAGAATGTTGTTCAGTGTTTTTTGGTTTTAATTGACATTCCGACTGATAGCGTATTTTGACGAAAGTTAAGTTGCCATTGGGTTGTAATAATTACGATTAAATTGGCAATGTAAATAGTGAAATTATAATCAACCGATCAGCATTAAATTTTTAATTCTAATTTTTGTAATTGGACAGAATACAGACAACGGAAAGAGACTGTATCAACCAATCACCATTCAAATATCTGCTCATACAGTGACGTAATCAAACAGTTGCGAAATCATTAAAGAATAGAGACATTGTTCTTTTGCACTCAGTTACCCGTGACGGATCTTCACGTTCTAGGCTAACTGTGAGGCCTGGTGATACTATCAAGTTCCCCAGACTGAAGTGGATGGAACAGGAACCAAACCTGTAACCTATTGCTTGTAGGCTGAATGCTTAAGCTAAACACCTACATTACATAGTCCACAGCATCACCTTATACAACGTCAAGCATTATTTTATTCGAAAATTCCGTACAATAGTAAATATACCACAATATAAATACCCTGAAAACTCCTTAATTTGTGTTAACATGCTGTCTAGGATAAAACTGTTTTTATTATCCAAGTATTGGTTTGTAGGGATTTGATTATTTTTAAGATTTTATCATAGATCACATCGGTTAGAGGATCATTAGAAAACTAGCAAGGAGTACTGTACCGCTGTTTCATCCTAGCTACAGACTCTTCAGCATTACACACACACCTCCAAGCTTCGAAAACAGGACCTTAGAATTACCAAGTGCAACTAGCTCGTAGACCATTCATCGGCCACTGGGACCCAATCCAATGGCCAGCTCGTGAACTCCAACTTCTGTCACTAGCTGGCCAACGTTTTCACTGGCGAGCATCTGTCACCACACTCGACCTGTTGTACCCCACTGGTCACGATGTCCCACTGGAAGCCAGGTAACTACCTATCTGAATGGGGCCAGTCGCTAGTGGGCATCAGACTGATAATCAAGTGTTGGTTTGTAGTGATTTTGATTTGACTGGTACTGGGTGTCTACTGACGAAGAGTCCCTAGCCAAGACGAAGCAGCTTTTTCGAGTACTCCCAGCTGGTTTTCCAATGGTTTTCTAACCGATGTCAGTTCATGATGAAATCCGCCAACCAATCAAACAAACCAAATTCCTACAAAACCAATGCTTAAAACAATCCTCTCATTACCTCCATCTTACTAACAGTATAAATCTCAGTGAAATTAAAGTACAGAGTAGAAATGCAAATGATATCTGCCTTCTATCTACACACCTTCTGACTTTGAATACATGGGCACAGTAAAATTTACAAGCAAAAATAAATGATTGAAATTAATACTTATTTTATTTTTGTTTGATAAACTCACTGAATGATATAAGCTGATTAAGGAAAAGGCATTTCTGAGGTTCTTTCAGTAAGTCTAGACGATGATAATGAAAATCGAATTCTGGAACTAAAACCAATAAAAAAATAAAAGAAACCAATGACAAAGGGGATATAAGATAGGCAAATTACTTTGTCTAGGAATAGGGTTTCATTAGACAATGAGATGAGATGACGGAGTTCACGGATCCCACTACTAGACACACGCTCAATACGAGACAAATAAATTGACTACCATCTAACTACTGCTCATTCTTGTGTACAGAATAAAAATCTACCGAGGATCGTTTGTGACTTGAATAGATAGGTCAGTGTCAAATTCACTGATTGTGGTGCTGTGTGATACAGGTTAGAATCACGGAAGATTTAACTCACATTCACCTCGTACTGATAAATACCTTTTGAATAGTTTTGAAGATAGATCGCACGGAATTCTAATGATATATAATAAATAGTGTAACCCAGCAAGTTAAGTTCAGTGATAGCTATTGTCTGATGTCACTGTTTGACGTTAATATTGTATGGTACAAGTGGTGAATCACAAGCCAATACATTTTGATTCAATACCTATGTGCTGTAACATGCTTGCCATGTATTCCAGTAATCTGGTTTTATTTGTGCAGGTTAAAAGGTATCAGTAAATATGGTCAGCTTTTTCCGACTTATCAACTACCCTATTTCATTCTATCGACTAGGTTAAATTCTGTGAGTTCAGATAAAAACAGAAAGGCGACGCATAAAAGTTATTAAGAGGATCATTTACATTCAACTCGACAATAAATACCGCGTATTGAGCCAGGGAATCCAGCCATTAAATCCCACTCCAACTTCTTTGATTTAAGAAGTTGAGTAGCTAGCCCTAACACTATGGAGCTGAACACTCTGAAAAAATCCTCCTCGCAAATGAATACCCAGAGCGTTTCATCATGAAATCCATGAAACCTAAGCCACTTAAACCGCCCACAATTGCTGATCCCCAGAAACGTCTCTACTTGAATTTACAATTCAACGGAGACTCATCAGCAGAAATACTGAGAAAAACTTCTTCGAGGTTGGACGGCGAATGACTTTCTCTAAGAATCCAATGATTCGCACGAGCGTTACCGATAAGCTACCACTGTTGGCCTCATTATATTGCATCTACCAATTCGCCTGCTCCATTTGTGGAGCTACGTATGTCGTCCGTACCCAGCGTTTGCTATCCAAACGTATTATCGAACACATACCCACAGTCATGGTTCTTATATAGCGAAAAAAATTCCTTTACAGTTGCTCTGTCCTGGAACACCTGATCGAATCTGAACACCCACACAGAAACTTCAAGGTTATCTACAGAATACGTGGGAATCTAGCTAAAAGAGTATACGAATCAAACTTCTTCAAACCGCAAAAGCAATGGCGGCAATTCGCATGTTAAATCCTGAACTCTGCATACAAAAGAAATTTGTCCAGTCATTGAAAATCTACAATGGACCTTATTTATCTTAACATCAAATTTTTGTATTTGTTTCTTCATTGTATTATTTTCTTCCTCCACTCCCTATTAAACCTGTGCCCCTTATTACCACTGTTATTAACTTGACTGCTGTCCAGTTTTAGTTGAATTACACTCAACCCGGTCAATTATATTACATCACTCAACTTAATTATTTCATTTTATATTAGTTTCTACCCGACTAGCGCTTTCTACATCACGTTATTTGTTACCTGAAAATTTACAGTTCTAATGACACATCTTTGGAAATATTCCTTTTGTTTTTAGGGCAATTAACTATACATATATATATGCAATTGTGCAGCTTGAGAAAGATTTCATCGAAAAGAGCAGTAACTCTTCGTTGAACGCCTCTTCCATTATAAATGAGTAGCATTTTCAAAATCGCACAGTTATTATGGCTCATCAATGAATCAAAAGAGAAAAGAAACGCATTAAACGAGCAACTGAGTCGTAAAATTCGAAACAAAGTGGCATCAGTCATACAAAAACCAAAAGAGAACAAAAAAACCCATTACTTTCTTCTTCCTCAAGAATATTCAACGGTGCACACACCTGGTGAATTGACAAGTCAAAGTTCCTACCCCACCCCACCCCCGACTGCAGTGATCGATCATAAGTGAAGGTGGTGACGGGTTGCAAATAAGAAGCCTGTGCAGTATACATTACTCCACCATAATTCCTCTAATTTACATCGGTTTCTGTATAATTATAATATTATCATTATAAATTACATAGAGAAAATGTATATTCGACCTACCTAACGGTGAGAGCTGACGATATTCAGAGCATAATGATTGAACAGATCTTACTACGACAATATAAGGCGTATTTAACTCATGTATACGTCTCCAACGATAGACAACATGAATTGGTAATTTATCATTGTTACTATCAGCAGTCGTCCCAGTGGTGTTAAAACAAGTGTTTATGATACCAGTTAATCCGTAAACTTCCATTTCACTCCTTGTCTAAACAGTATAAAAGAAAGAGGACTATGAAGATATGCAATACATAAAAGCATAGAATGAGGTGCAATGAGAACCCCTGTATATCTATACCATATCTATTGCTTCTTAAGCAAAAAAAACATTTACAAAGCAGAAATATATGGATACTGGATATCACCAGGAAAGCGTATTAACTTGTGATTTTCCAATGATTAGCATGATAGGCAGAATGGTTTGTTAGATAGCTTGCTTTTTATGCCTATGAGTAGTTAACCATATTTGCAACAAACTAATTTTCTATTTGAAATATAGCACAAACTGTACATAAAGCTTTTCGGTTACCAGTGAATTTCTTCTTGGTAAACGTCAGACTGTCAATATCTTAAAAGATTGGAAGTTATATGAATGCATGTGTGTCTGTATGAGATTGACAATAGCTTGGAGAGAATTATTATCAATATTATTATGATTCCTTTGACTTTCCGGTGGAACACTGGGCTTCAACAACACATCTATACTTTCTTCTATTTTCTGTTGTCATCTTCACCTGGGCCAACGATTGCGCATAATCTCACATCTCCTACTCGCGTCCACGTCAAAATGGCACCGACAACGACCCACTCGAAGGCCTGGCTCGCGATGTCGTTCGACTGCCTCCTAAACGTGTGCCCAACTCATCTCCATTTTCTCCTACATATTTGTTGAGTAATCAGCTCTCGCCTTTTGGTTTGTTCCCAGACAGAGTTTCTTGTTCCTACCTCTTTCTGGCCGACCAGCTGGCCATTTGATCTTCAGTATGAAGCTAGAGAAGGCAGCTGTTGATAAAAGTTTGTAACTTGTTGGAAATACTTTTCGTGACACGTTGGCCAAGTTCCAAACCCATATACAAGCATTGACTAGATTAACATTGGTGTTAAAAATCCTAATCTTGTTCCTATTGCTGCGAAGTGCAGAAGATTTCCAGACTGGCTTCAGATTGATGAAAGTGTGCTAACTTGCTTTTCAGATTCTGGCTAGCTTTGACATCTTCAGCCGTTCCAACTGCCTGTGATTGAAACAAAGCTTCCTAGATAAGTGAAGAAAGTAACCTTGGAAAGTGTGCACTGTGAAAAGTTGCTAAAATTCTCAGGATTGCAACCGGGCAGTCTATTATGACAAAGACTGTGTGAACTGTTGTCGGGTTTTCATTTTACTACCTCTAGTTCCTATTCAGCCTGATTCTCTACCCTAACATTGCTAGTCTAGAAGGGTGGCGACTTGGAATGCAAAACACGTGACCTAATCAGTCGATGGATCTTCTCAACCCCATCGATTGGCTTACCCTCCTCAAGTAACTCACGACACCTAACCCTAATATTATTCACCATATTTTGTCAATTCACACAGTTCACAGGAAGCATACATAAGTGGTCATATTTTTAACTTTCAATACTGCTCAGCACACACGTCCTTTAAGCAATAGCCCGATATCATGTCTACGCAATAGATGCCGTTAGTTGACAAATACCACAAGAACCTTTAGTATCGGCAGTAACCGGTCCATTAGGTCTGACGCAACTTCCCAGTGCTAAGTGGAACGGCCAACACGATCAACCACTTCATTCCCTATCTTTAAGCCAGGCGTCGGTGCAGTCAAGTCCTACAGCATCATCTTACATTTGGTGACAGTGAATCGCATGCCAAAGATTCGAAGATTATTATTCAAAGTGTCCACTAGACTTTGTATTTTATCAGTCTTTACTTAGGATGGCGGTATCACCCGCATAATCTAAGTTCACAAAACTGTCCCCTGGTAACAAGTCAATTAGAAAAATTGTTAAAATTAGTCAGAGTAAATTCCATTAGTACGTCTATAAGTCGACAAAATATAATATAAGATCTACTGAAATACAAGAAAAGCAGTAAGTAATCAACTTACAAGTTTCACCAAAAGACCAACTTCACCAGACAATTCATTCAATAAACGATGTCTCACAAGCGATTGAAAACCAGGAACCCATTCCAACCTACTGATATCTGGATTTAAAATAGGCTCTTGTTGTTGTCTAGACTCCCTGAAATTCGGAATATTCCTTGCACTCAATAAACAGTTACGGCCGTTGCTGCTGCTCCTAGAGTCAATACCACCAGAGGTAAAAACTGTTTGATAAGATGATGGGTTACGTATTTCACCGAAATGTCGACGATTTCTATGATTTATCCATTGATTTCTATGATTATTAGACGCATAAACATTATGCCTATCAGTGTATACATTTTGTTCATAATATCGACGACGTAAATGATAGTGTTTTATCAATGTATCAGTTAAAGTCGGATGAGAAAGTGTATAACCATCAGGTGATTGTAATAGAAAGGCAACAGAACTATCCGAACCACCGTCTATTGCACCTGATGTGGTGAAATGCACAAAATTATCGACTAAATCTAATAAATGTACATCAATACCTATAACACCGATTAAATTATCCTAGAAATGAAATTAGAAATATAACAAACAGTGAGCACTAATCAGTGTATTTAATGCATAATAACTGATCAATAAAAAAAGAAAATTAAAAAGAACAGACAAATAGTAGTGAAGTTTGCTTTTCACACCTCCAATTAATGAGTGAAGATTCGAAAATGGCAACAACAAAAAGTGAAGACACTACTCAACAACCCATTTGCATTTCCTGACTGAGTGTTTGACTAAACAAGTTTCAGCATAGAACTTTGCATAGAAGCGCAGCAGTTGACGTTGCAACATTCCATGTGGATGGCACAAAAGTCGAAAACAAAAGATTCAAAAGAAACACACTGAACAGAAATGTGTGGGAGGATTTATATGGGGAGATATCACAAAGATCGCAAATAAATCTATGCGCCATTGAAAAACTTTCAAGTTATCTCATCAATAGTCTCCATCCATTGGTTCTTAGAATCCTGAGGATTCCAAAGAGGCAGCCTAAACCTCACTACGTGGCTTAAAATAACTATCAAAGACTGATACCAGGTTATGTCTTGGCAACCCAACCGAATCCTATGTCAAATAACATTTCTCGTCGAGGAAGGAAATGGACTCGGCATGTACAACATGTGTCCTAGCCATCCCAACCGATGTAGTTTCACAAAACCATCGATTAGTTTCCCTTCCTTGCCTAACACTCTACGTCTAACCTCACCAGATTGTACTATTTGTCACGGAAGATAGAACGCAAACGTCAGCTAGTCTCTTCGTAACTTCCACCTACCTTCCACTTGCATTTCTATTCAGTCAGCAATTAGCCAAACCCATCCTACAAGAACTGAAGATAACCAATCCTTGTTAGGTGGTGATTGGAAATCTATGACCTAGGGGCCAATGAGCCACAGCTCCACTGGATTCGATCATGAAAAGCGAAATAATTTGAAGCTGAAAATGCATAAGCTGATTAACTATTCCATTCTTGATCAAAGTATATATCACAGTTAGTAGGAATTCAACCAAGTGACTTAACTAATGTAGGTCAAATGTTAACGACAATAGCCATTTAAGTCAAACAAAAACAAACGATACTAAGCAGATTCTTGAACAATATTAACGAGAATGATTCAAATGATTCAAAATCAAAACACTGAGACATATATACACCGGGTGAAGATTTTTTAAATTTACTTCAAAATGGAATGAACTGTATCCTGATGATAACCAATAACACAGACAAAATTCATAGTCTATTACATTGCTTCATTGAAAGTATATTGTGTTTATCAACTACAACTGATAATATACAGTTCATATATATTCATACATTTGAAGAGTTGATTTGTAGGGATTGGACTTGTTTCAAATTTGATCACGGATTGATATCATTTAGACAACCATTTATAACCAGCTGAGAGTACTGGACGGCTACTTCATCCTAGTTTGCGATTCATCAGCAATACGCCACCCACCGGCTTTAACCCAAGACCTTCCGGTTACAAGGCAAGCTTGTAGACCATTCAGTCACTGGGAGCCCATCCAATGGCCAGTCCATGAATTCTAACTTCTACCAACTTGTGATTTTGTAGCCTGACCACCAGCCAAAGTCATCCAAGACGAGCATTTGTCCTCACTCCCGATAGGATGGACTCCACTGGACACGACTTCTAACTAGAACCCCAGGAAACTCCGTCCTGTAGACAGTAACTAGTGAACATCAGATTAATTTTTCATAATTTGATTTGTAGGGACGGAGTTTCTTGGAGTCCTAGTGACAAGTCGTGACCAGTGGGGTCTATCCAGTCGGGAATGAGGATGGATTTCTCGCCGATGACATTGTCTGGGGGTCGCGCTAAGAAATCACGAATTGGTAGAATTCATTGGCCAGTGAATCGGGTATACGAGCTTGCCTTGTAACCGGAAAGTCCTGGGTTCAAAACCCGGTGGCTGATGATGAGTCCCAGACTAGAACGAAACAGTTGTTCAGTACTCCTTTCTGATTTTAAATGGTTCCGTAACTGATACCAATCAGTAGTCAAACTTGATATATATATATATATATATGGGAGAGGATCCCTATACTTTATTAAACCTAACTGAGCTGTTCGATTAACTGGTGCACTCAGCTAGTCCACTTCCACTTCTTAAATTAAGAATTAACGCACACCAGACCTGTGGCATCGCCATCTTACATATCACCGTGGGAAACTACATGTAGAAAATATTTATATATTTTCCCATAGTATTCAGAAGATGCTGAATTTTTTCAATCAAAAGGACCACATAGACTTCGTCCTACCCCCCGGTAGAAAGTTAATTCCTATCTGAGACATCCAAATTTAAACGACTTTACTTGATTCAGTATCACTAGAATAAATTTAAGTGGGAATAAGCACACAGAGAAAACTGCACCTTTCTAAATGCAGTCAATATTTTTCTTTAACTGAAAATAAGCATCAATACAATAGTTTAGTCATTTTCACAGCCGAACCCAATATCTTCAGTTAACAGGTCATGTAAACACATTCTAGTAGCTAACGTTCCATTCGTGAGACATAAATGCCTTCCGCTGCTAACTGTAACGAAAGTAACGACACTGTAATGCAAAACATGTTAATATAAAGAGACATGCATACAACAAAAAAACCTAGTTATTAATGAGTGCGGGTCACTTCACTTCCGTGTATAGATTAACAGCAGCAAAATATGACCAATGGTGATTTGTCTAAGTAGAAATAATAAACTCTTCTAAATACAGCATAAAAACTATAAAACAATTTGTTTACCTGATCAGTAAACGCTTGACTTATTGTTACCACTAAATCTCCACCTTCTAAATCATAATATGGAAGAGAATACTGGACAGGAAAACTTTCAGGTAAGCGTTCACTCTTCAGATCATTAATTTCAGGAGAGGGCTCATGCGAAGACGATGACACGTTCAAATCAACAGGCTTTATTTTATCGTTTTCATCATGTGAAGCTGTAGTATCACTTAGATCATGTTCTATTTCAATAGTAACATCCTCTGTAGCAGAAGATATAATCAGCGGTTTAATAATGTTTCCAGTAGACTTGGTAACCATTTGATAATCTGAAATATTTATTGTAGTTGGTTTAAGAAAAATTTCATAAAATTTTCCAACTGTATTTGATAGGTCAGTGGTACGATTTATGGGGAAGAAATGACCTTGTTTTGGAGGATATAATTTATTCAACTCGATAGAAGTATTTGATGTTGAGTAAAATGACCATCTATCAAGAAAGAAATCAAAACAATTGATATTGTAATGGGAGAAGACAAGAAATTTGGTAATGGAATTTCTTATTTTTAAGGAAAAACAAACCATATTTATATTTTTAGTCCCTTTTAAGGTCGGCTAGGTTAGCAGATTATACACTGTTCTTATTGGTTGTCGATTTTCTGAGGCTTAAACCGTCGAACGAAAAGTTGCCCAATGAGATTATTTCCTGACCACAACGTAAGCTGAATCCAGATTAGGGGAATAAATACTCCTACTTCTGGTGCCACTGACTTCGAACGTTTTCACTTTTGACTAATTCCTATCAAATTGCATTTATATACTACTGACAAATGCTGTCAGTAGCACACGCCATAAATATAAAAATTGTAAAACAAATTATTCGCATTGTTTCTGTGTGGAACATAGGGCTTCAGCAGCACATCTCCATTTCACCTGTTCTCTGTAGTCCTTTTAGATGGCTCCACAATTGCTCCTTAGCTTCTATCTTCTCCTCACACGATCTCCTCCATGTCTCCTTCGGACACCTAACTCATGATTTCTAATTCGGGTCCAACTCGACTAGTCAGCGTGTGATGTCATTCAACGAATTCCTCAGCGTTTGTCTAGTCTGCCTCCATCCCCCTCTGAATATTTGTTGATCAGTAGGTTCTTAGTTAGTTCGTCGATAGAGTTACTCATTGTTAATCCTTTCTGGCTAGCCACCGAAGGCAGCTGTTGATAAAATTCTGTACGTGACACCCGAAACTCTCTGAACTATATACACAGATGACATGACATTACTGTTGAAAATCCGAATCTCGCTCTTTAAGCTTCGTGCAGTAGACTTCCAGACCGATTTCAAATTAATGAAGGTTTGTTTTGCCTTTCCGATGCTGGCTTTGATATCCTCATCTGTGCTAGTTGTAGTTGAAGCGATACGGTCTAGGTAAGTTACAGAAGCAACTTCTTTCGAATTTCTCCTGTTGACGGCAGTGCGTACCTGCTGTTGTTATTGATTAGGTAGCTTCATCACCGATGCCTTCTCCTTGTTCACTTGAAGTCGTATTTTCCCTTCGTATTTTGTCAATTTGTTGGATTTTGCTTGTAAACCTTCAGGTTTGTACGACATAAATCGTCTGTGAAGCCTAGATTTTCTAGAGTTTTTCTGTATTTCCATCTTCTCAACCCCCCACCCCCCACGATTATTTGCAATATCCACTCCGTTACAATCAGGAACATCATCAATGATAGTAAAGTAGTCTTGTCAAGTGAAACAGGCGAGAGGTTTCTGACCACGTATTAGTGGCTTGAGACACATAAGCCAATATGAAGCCCCCGTCTGACACCATTGAGACGGTTGGATATTAATTGAAAATTAGGCTTTAAACTAATTTTCTCAACACACGTATGGAAATAAATAAATTGAGATAGGCACGTAAAATTAAACTTGCAATTCGCACACTACTCATTATAAGCACAAATTTGATGAAACTATTAGCTTTCAAAGTGTTGCTTTTGCAGGAATATGATTGATTTCAAGATAGATGACTAATTGATATAAGTTAGAAGACGATTAGGAACCAGGGATTATAGGACAAATGGGACCTTTCAACTGTACAGTACTGTCTAATTTCCAATCGTTGCCTAACCAGCGTCAGTTCACGATTCAACGTGAAACCAATAACATGATAAAGCAGAACATCAGTAAAAAATAATTTGCCCTTTGATTTTACAGCCGTTAAGAAATTCAAATATTGATATATAAATCTGTTATTTGTTGTTATTGTCTGCTCGGGTTAAGAGTGGAATATGAGGCTTTAACAACACATCTGCACTTTCTTCTATGTTTTGCTCTCCTTTTCACCTGGGTTCACGATTGCCCATAAAATCTTACCTCCTACTTATATCGCACAATCTCCTCCATGTCAACATCGCACCAACGACCCACTCATCGTTTTCTATTCGAGCGATAGACTGCATTGCCCGTGATGTCATTCAACGGCCTCCTCAAAATTTGCCCAATCCATCTCCATTTTTCCTACATATTTTTTGAGCAATCGGCTCTCAGTTGTTGGTTTGTTATCAGAGTTTCTTGTTGTTGATTCTTTCTGGCCAGCCGGCCACCTTATCTTCAGTAAGCAGCCAGCGAAGTCAGTTGTTGATGAAAGTCCACAGTCGCTTGTTGGAACAGATTTTCGTGACGCGAGTGTCAAGTTTCTGACCTGTATTGAAAAACTGACTTGACATTAGTGTGTTGAAAATCCGACTCTTGGTCTTTATGCTGTAGATTGCAGAAGATTTCCACGCTGAATTCAGATTGACGAAGGCGTATCTTGTCTTTCCGATTCTGTCTAGCTTTGACATCTTCATCCGTTCCACTTGTAGTTGAAACCCTACTTCTTAGATAGATGAATTCATGAAGTAACCTCTGTCACATCTCTCCCGTTGATGGGGATTGGTGCTGGTTGTTTTGCTGGTGTGGTTCGTTGATTATCTTCATCACCTCTGTCTTCTATATGTTCTCCTGAAGTCCAGTCTTCGCTGCTCACCTCCTCTGCTAGTTTGTTGGTTTTCGCCTGCAAGTCTTCGATTTTGCGTGACATTCAACATAAGTCATCTTATTAAACTGAGAATAATCATAAACGCAGATGTGTGATACTGATATTCAGAATCTGTTTTCCTTAGTCGTCATCCTTTTTAGATGCTTATTAAGAAGGCACAGAGGCACAATGCCGTAGCTTTATATTCTGGTATGGCGGGAAATAAAATGAGTGCCTAACTTAACAGACCGTATTACGTGGAGAAAAAGAAAGACGGGTTTATACTATTACGTTTATCGAAAAATGACGGAAGAATATGTGTAGAAAAACTGACTGACTGGCTCTAATTTAGAACTCTGCACTGATGTGCAGCAGTTCAAGTTGCCACACACCCTCATTTTAGCAAACAAAGCAAAAGAACAGACTACAGAGCGTTTCAAAAGAGAGATGATAAACAGAAGTGTGAGTGAGGCAAAAAGAATAGTAATATGGAAGAACAATAGAGCTTTTTGGATATGATAAATCACAAAGAGTGAATGCATCTGCGCCAACCACTGAGAACGATGATATTGAGCTATCCATATTTTAGACTGTCTCCAGCCATTGGTTTTTACCATCCCCAGGACCCTATCCAACCAGGAAGTTTACACCTCCCTACATGACTGGCTGGATTAAACTAACTGTTGTGGATTTCGCTGACTGATACCATGTGTAGAAAGAACTCCTACGAAGCCAGTTTATGGGCTTGCAGCATATATATATATATATATATACATGAAAAGGAAATCATTAAAAACTTACCTTGTAGCTAAATCTTTCATGAATGTTTGTTCAAATAGCACTGTAGTACTCTTCTCTTCAGTTGGCATATACGTACAAATATGCACAGAATTATTCAGATAAGCTTGATAGGTGGAGACAAGACGTAGAGTTGTTGACGCTTCTGTTAAATCAGTCAGATAACCTCGACTAATGTAGGCTAACATGATATGCTCTAAAAGTGCACAAACAGAAACATTTAGAAACCCGGAAATCTAAGGACACAACAAAATTGTTAATCAGTTCCAGTTAGCAGTAATTCTCATTATAACTTAGCGCAAAAAACGTCGAGTCAACGAAATAAAATTTCACTTTTATTTTTTTCTTTTCAAATGACAGTAACATTCAGACAAGACAAACATGCATCAGCACAACAGAGTCACTGAGAGTACAATCTGTATCGTTTCAACTGAGTATAATTCACTATTATTTTATTCCTTTACGTTCTGAGCAGAACATAGGACTTCAAACTAGAGCTTTGAAATTTCGGTAGCAGTGGTGTGTTTATTTCTACGGGATAAGGTTGCTAGCTTCATGTACAACCTTCCCTCTTTACCAGTCTAATTACTGGCTTGGCCAGGTAAAGGAGTGCCTTGCCGACCGGGGATCGAACCCCGAACCACATGCGTAGTTGGCGAGCATCCCTACCATTGTGTTACCGATGCACCCAACTGCCAATAGACAGACACCAGTTACATAACTATATAAGCTAATATTTAAAGTGACAGTTAGCAAATATTTGAACGTAATGACGTCAAATTTAACATTCGGTCATTTGATCAGGGTATTAACATCTTTTGTACCTCTTTTCCATGCTTTTTTACCAAATATATTTTTCTTCCTTGAAGAATAACAGGAAAAATGTTTGTCATTTGTCTGTCAACATGTAAAGATGAATGAATCCTACTATCACTAAGCCTCACTAGAAAGTACAAACAGGTGTAGTAACAGAAATAGTAAACAGAAGTTAAGGGACATAAATGGGATGAATACTTCCTATTTTAGAATGACTTCGTCGATAAAGATAAATTTGTAAGCTGGATTTTGTTTTCTACACTTCACACATTTTCCTGAACATCTAGTGGAACTTTTCAAATAATAACGATAATAATATTAGTAGTACAGTAACTAGCAAACTATGCAGAAACTATTATATTAATATTCTCTGCTTGAGTTCCGAGTGGAACATAGAACTTCAACAACACATCTTCACGTTGTTCTATTTTCTGCTATCCTCTTCAGCTGGGTCCACAATTATCCATAATCTCTCATCTCCTCCGTGTCACTCTAGGATGACCCACTGGTTGCTTAGCATTCGGATTCCACTCGAGTGATGGCCTGCATCGTGCGCGATGTCATTCGACGGCCTCCTCAACGTATGTTCAATTCATCCATATTTCCTCATACATATTTGTTGAGCAATCGCTTCTTGGTTGGTTTGTTCCCAGGCAGAGGTTCTTGTTAATAATTCTTTCTGGTCTGCCAAGTGGCCATTTGATCTTCAATATGGAGCCAGAGAAGGCATCTGTTGGTAAAAGTCCGTAACTTGTTGAAAATCGTTTTCGTGACACGCTGGCCAAGTTTCTGACTCATATAGAAAAACTGGGTTCACATCTGTTTTGAATATCTGAATCTTGTAGAAACTAACGTCAACTTTCATACTTAACAATTTTCACTAAGAGAAACCATAACTACGGGATATAATATTACCAATCTATTTAATACGGTATACATCATCCACCGACTGATTTCATTTGATTGAAGGTTAAGGATCTTTAATTTAATTCAATTTAGATTCTCCTGTCGATTGGACTGGAGTGCTGGATCTTAGGCTGACATGTCGGCATTTTGTGCAGATGCTTCGACGATTTCTGTTCATGTAACTGAAAGCCAATTGGTGGATGGTGACTATCAGTGGTGATCCAGATGACGAGTCCCAAATAGGACGAAATGCGAATCCTGGATACCACTGCTAATCACCATCCACCAATTGACGATCATTAAGTCTAAAGTTTACCGAAACATAGCAACCAACAGTTGAAGGCTTTATTAAGATCAATATACTGATTAGAATAGAATGAGTTGTTGAAGATTTAAACCCCATCCCTCCCTGGGGAATACAGCAGAGCACGCTGAGTCATTTATTGTATGAGAGCAGAGTAGGAGTGTTGCTTGAACTCGGAAGTCATTGAGCCAGAGATGAGAGCCCAAAGCAACACAATAAACTGCATATATACACAGAAAACTACAGAATATCAAAAGATGCGCTACTTTCAGCATACTTTGCGCCATAGTACCGTTGTGATGAATTGACAACATTTCTGCATGCTTAAATGTCACCTGAAATCAAACGTACGCCAACCTATATATGGTTACCTATAATGAACTCCATTCAGGATATAAATAACTGACGAAAAACCTCATATCCAGTATGCTTTGAATATTTCAGGTAGATTTGATGATAGTCTAATGAATATAGACAAAAATAAGTTTCACAATTATTAAAAATTTGGTTTTTAGAGTAGCATTATGTACATCTGATATTAATTACAGCATGGTAGAAGTTAGAACTCATGCATTGCCGGATTCTAACCGACATGTGATTTGGATGGTAGTATGCTAGCATCACAACCTCACGAAATCTTAAGCTCAATCACACCGTGCAGAGACTTGAATTAGGGTAAAAAATCTGCCCGATCCCCTCCTTGTTTCTTACTAATGCCTTATATATAAGGTTCATTGCAAAAGGTTGTTCAAAATCACTCAAATCCTTACAAACTTTAGGTCTGAAAGACGGACGAACGGAAGTTTGCCTATAAATCAGTTAGAGTAACCACTGAAAATCAGGGAGTAGTGGACAGCTGTTTTCACCTAGTTCAGCACTGTTCACAGCAGTGAACACCCATGAAAAGTTTGAAACTATAATAAAACATCTGTCCAGTACTCCTTGGTTTTTAATGGTCTCCCTAACAGATGTCACTCCCCCGTGATCTAAGTTGAAGCTAAATCTAATAATCCCTGTAAAGCAAAACTTTAAAATATACGAAATAAGTCGTTAAAAATCCAAATACCTGGAATTTCTATAGAGTTCAATTGATTCTTTTCACTTTGAAATCGTTTCATATTTGAAATAATTGTTTGAAATGCATAATAGAATGCTTTGATATGATTTGTTTTAACTGGTAAAGGTCGATTGACACTGTGAATGAATCGATCCAAATACTAAAAGACAAGGTGAGAAGCAAATGTTAAGAGGAATAAACAGTTAACTATATAATGTGTTTAATTACTTCAAGAATTATAAGACAGTAAATTAGTTATGTTATTATTTTGAGTCTTCAAAACTCAAAGTAACACAACTGCGTGTAATAGCCGGCAATAGTAACAATCAAAAACATTGTCTGAAATTAAAAACCAAGATTTTTAAAATACCATGTTAGAACACAGTGTTACTTGATAGCAGAATTGCTTACGGTAGTGGTGAAAAATGACAACGAGCTCGCCTTGTAACCAGAAGGTCCTGGGTTCGAATCCCTGTGGGTGCGTACTGATGAAGAGTCCCGAACTAGGACGAAACAGCTGTCCAGTACTCCCAGGTTTTCCAATGGTTCTCTAACTGATGTCAGCTCATGATGAAAATCCTGTAACCAATCAAATCTCTACAAACCAACACTTGAGTGACAACTTTTTATTGGAAATTCAATATGCAGAAGCTACTCATTTCGTGGCTTGTGTTACTGATAAGGTTTGTCAGTAGTCTATATATATATATATATATATATATATATACAAAGATGTTCATCGGCATAAAAACATCAAATAGCAGCGAGATAGATGTGGTGTCAGAGAAAGCAAATGATACAGCTTTGTGGAGATACATTGGAGACGTGAAGGGGACACAAAGAAACTCAATACGAAGGCCAGAAGTAGCAGGCACAACACGGAAGATCTGTGCAAATGGTGCGTTGAAGATAAAGTGTACATAATATGGCTGTTTCAATATTCTACATTGTGTGTTTTCTTTTCATGCTTTCTGTATATTTTTTCACTATAGTCTTCATTTCTTCTCTTTACAACTTAATCAATCTCTTTGCTATTCAAGATTCTTTCAGATGTCACCAATATACAATTACAATCACACTGTATGTTAATTCATTTGATTAGATACTAGTAGTAGTAACTAGCTAGTGTCACGTGTCTAGTTCTTTGTTTGATGCCAACTGATTTCTACCAGTCAAGGTATGATTTGACCACCATCATAGGTGGCTCATCATCACGGTACACTTTAAATTGTTGTTTTCAGATGTTTTTCAGAAATAATCGGCAGTAGGCCTTCGAACTACATTTCCTGCTTGTCAGCACTCGTTAGCAAGGCATATCTGCAAACCTGAAGCAACTCATATCCCTTTTGATAGAATTCAGTTTATAGCAAACAAATGACTAGACGCATGATATTATTTACTGTCTAATGATGTCCAATCAAAGTATCCATTACAGTCCTACAAGAGGTGAGTCAATCGAAAGCGCGAATAGCTTAGTGGTAACATCCTTGACTGAAGAATTGAGTGATTCGGGTTGCCGTCTCATAAGAGACATGATTTCCTTCGCGATTGCGCATATACCCTATTGAAAAGAAAGTCGATAAGCACCAAACTCAGATCCAGGGCTTCTTGCCGACTGCTTCCAGCAATCTAACAAGTGTTAAAATGCTAACTGTACCCTATAAAAACACTTACTAGTCTAATACGCGTGACATACTACATCTACCTATAAGTACGGGGTCACAAAATACACAGCATAAACTTAGAAATAAGAGTTCCATCTTTCTTTCTAAGAACTACCCCAGAAGTAAGACTATGTTAGACAATATAGCGACACAGAAAAAGTGATGGTTCTTAGGGTAACAGCACTGATATGCCAACCAACAATCACAATCTATATGATATCTGAACTCAATTCCTCTGTACAGATGCTTCATGTATCAAACTAAAAACTACAGTTATTAAGTGAGAGCTAATCATACTACCCAGTTGTACAGGTCGAAGTAGGTGGAGTGGGATTCGAACCCTGAAGGCTGCATTGGCGTAGATGTGACGTCCAGTATCGACCAAGTGTGATAGGATCGAGCTTTTTATGCATTTCATTTCCCCCCTTACTGAACCAAGCTTGTAAATGTTCTCGAACCCCTAAACGAACCTGCCTAATCGTGCGCCCTATATAAATTGAAATACAGGAACAGTTGAAATGGTATATGCATGAAGAAAAACCAAGGTTTGGTAAAACATTTTTCATTTGCTAGGTGAACATTTGACGGTTACTGAAGGATAGGAACAGATGTGCAGAGTAGAAAGTTTTCTTTATCGCCCCGGTTAAACGTTGCTTAAGAATAGCTGTACAAGTATCTCTCCTGAATTGTAAATCTGAGGTCAAATTTTGACCACAGTTCATATACATAAGTCATAATAAGTTTTTTAACCTTTGAAACAGAACAGAGAAAATCGATTAAGGGTATGAAAAATCAAAAACAGTGAGATATGTATTTGTAGCACGGTTATGTAATAACAATTCCAGTGAATCCTTGGAATAAAACACTGAATTAATTCGTCATCAAACAGATGAATCAACATTTCAACTGTTAAAAATTCAGTAAAATGTACGATACCTTAGTTTCGCCCTAAGAATATTCTAAACGATGTAAATTTGATGACTGTAGAAAATTTGCTCTGACGGAAAGAATCTTGGCTTGTTTTCTCAACAATAAATCCGTTTCATCGCCGCCCAACTATAAACACAAACATTCAAATGATTTTATTATAACAAAGACAGTAATCATTCTCTTTTTTTTGAAGAGTTATTTTTATATTTCCCGTTGATTGATTACATTAGATCGAAATACCAGGTCTCTGTTGACATGTGAACTCTTAGTACAGACGCTTCAGTGATGTCTGAGGAGGGTGACTGGCGGTAGAATCCAGGAAGTGCATTTCATCTGATTTGAAACCCGTTACTTGGATGTACTTACATTCATTCCCAGTGAGTGTGTGTTGTGTTCCCATGTCAATCAATAGAGGATGTGGAGCATTTCTGTCCAAAGTAATCAGTCAACACGGGGAATGCAAATTAACCCGTTGGACTAAAGGTAGCTCCTGTAATAGCCCTGATGACCTAGTGCACAATGCACTGTATGCAGTTGGACACGATGTGTGCAGAATTCAAGCTTCAGTGCGAACACACCATCAATTACTAGGGAAACTGGTTCATCCGAATTACTAGTTCGAAACAGAATGAAATGCGCATCCTCGATTCCACTGCAAGTCACTATCGATCAAGATTTTGTTTTAAATACAGTCTCCCTGATCCTTAGACAAAAAAGTATCCACATCCATTAATTGCAAACGTCAACTCTTAAAATACTAAAAGTTATATGTCCATAAAACATACAAAAAGAACCACAGCAGTGAATACTACTAGGTCAAATATAAATAAACATAATTATTTTCTATAGTTTGGTTTGTAATGATTAGTTATGTTTTACGAGTTGATCACGGACTGATATCAGTTAGAGAACCATTGAAAACCAGGGAGTACTGGACAGCTGCTGTTTCGTCCTAGTTTTGGGAATCATCGGCAGTACGCACCCACTGGGATTAGAACCCAGGACCTTCCGGTTGCAAGGCAAGCTCGTATACCACTCGTAAAACATAACTAATCCTTACAAACCAAACTATAGAAAATTATTCTGATGCTCGCTAGTGACTTGCTACAGGTTGGAGCTTCCTGGAGTTCTAGTGAGAAGTCGTGACCAGTGAGGTCCAATTAGAAGTCACGTGTGTGGATGGATGTCCCACCAAAGACAATAGTTGGGGTCGCGCTAAAATCACAAATTGGTAGAAGTTAGAATTCATGAGCCATTGAATCGGGTCCCAGTGGCTGAATGGTATACGAGCTTGCCTTGTAACCAGAAGGTCCTGGGTTCTAATCTCAGTGGGTGCGTACTGCCGATGATTCCCAAAACTAGGATGAAACAGCAGCTGTCCAGTACTCCCTGGTTTTCAATGGTTCTCTAACTGATATCAGTCCGTGATCAACTCGTAAAACATAATTATTGCCTAAGAAACAGTATGAATTTCCATTGATTAAGCCTCTAGGAGATTATTCAGCACTATAAATTTATTTAAAATAATCCCAGAGTGTCTAACGAAAAAATAAAGACAAGATTACTTTTCTGAACACTTCGCTGTGTAACCGCCACAGCTTCTTCAGCAGCAGAATTACTCGGATTTTATTAACCATCAAATTATTTAGTCAAAAATTAAATAAATTGAAGTCAGTTCCTTTGTGAAGGTCACTTGTCGATAGACATTTATATCAATGGAAAAATGTAAACAGTCATCACACATTTGTAATGACTAATGTCAAATTGTCATGTATGCGTATTTGTCTGTACGTGTGTGTGTATGTTATTTGTTGTATGAAAAACACGTCAAAACATGATAATATTTTACAATGGTCATTATATAGGACTGATTTTTGTTTTTCCCTCGTCTATTTTGCTTCATTAGAGTCTGCCATACAGCTGGTGATAAGTCTTTCCCTTCTCTCCTATTTACTGTATTCGATTTGGTTAAAATATGCAAGGATTCAGACGTCAGCTTCTCTCTATGTGGTGAATGAAAGCCTCATCCCATAATTTCGGCATTGTCGAAATCAATCTTATGTCCGCTGTCTATAGCATGCATTGCTATAGCTGATATTTTTCCTAGACTATTTAATTGTATTTGATTTCTAGGCTGACGTTTCCTGCATAGCCTACGTTCATTCACTCTGACCTTCACCTGTCTACTGCTCTCCCTTATATACTGCACTTTATCCTATGGACACAATTGTTTTGTGACATTTTGGGAACCATATCTTTAACATTCACCAAAGCTTTCTCTAGAGGATTAGAGGGCTTGAAATAGGACTTTATTAATAAGTGAAGCAAGTACTCTTTGAAGCTGTTCAGCTGTGTCATTTCGATATGGAATGGCTATCGTCGACACCCATGATCTTATGATTATTCAACATACTAATCACTTCCTTTAAAAGACTACTAGACACATGATTGTGTATTGATTACATTGAGATGCTTAACTTACACGGAATTAATAGAAGAACTACGTAAAATAAGTTCAGTTTAGTGGGAAATTACCAATCAGAAATACAAATGAAATACAAGTTTTTCAAACAAAATTTACCGCTTTCATTTCTTCAGTAGCTTTATAAGCATATCCAAGTGTTTGATTCTTTTCTTGGGGATTGAACACAAATTCATCACTTGATATATTGAATAACTGTTTATTTTGAACGGTTTTTATTGTAGAATTCAGTAATTTTGATGCATCACTTTTAGTATAGTTATTGTTTGAATTATACTCTAAACCGTATAAAACATTATCTGAGACAAGTAGAACATTAACATAATCTTTTTCGCTTAATGATGCTAAAAGAATACGTGCAACACGCTGACCAAGAAGTAATTGAGTTTGACTAGCTTCACCTTGATCTAATATAATTGTCATCCATATTGGTTTCGGGAGAATTGAACGAATAAATGCACTTCTAAAATAGGATAGGATAGGATACTTAACATCCAAAAGTGTATAAATAATAGCGAAATATGACAAGCAGTAATCCCCTGTACTACTGATTACCTGCACAAGTAGCAAATCACTTTTGTTTGTTTTTTATTTTGTTATAGCTTAACTCCACACAATATTTTTGATACAAGTATTGAATTTTCAGCCTGTGATATCGGTAGCCCAAATTTAGCAGGCTGATCATTGATATCAGGTGTGCTTCTGCCGGGGATCGAACCCCGGACCATGTGCATGGTCGGCGAGCGTCCTAACCGCTGTACCACCGACGCACAGGGGTAGAATACTAACATCTGAAATGATTTGAATAAAACTTCTATGCTATCAATCATAAGATGTTGAGAATAAGAAAATTTCGGTTAAAAATAAACAACAACCAGTGAATAACTCATGCCAACAGTGCACCTCCAGGCTTTACCGCGTCCGTTCATAAAACAAAATAAATAGGCATAATTCGAAATCAGTCAAAGCTCATTCCTAGTGGCTGAAGATTGACGACTATATGAGTTAACTACAGGTCGATCGTCACAAGTGTCTTCAATTTGAGGTAGAATCACAAAGTTAACAATGTGTAAAGGCTAGATACTGAGAGCTAGAAGGTAAACGCAGGCGAGTTTGAATGCATTTGTGAATTCTGGAATAACAACTAATGACAGGAATATACAGGTTAAGCATGACCGAAGCATTGATCCTAATAAGCAATTTCGGCTACCATGGGATCATACCTCTGAAGAAGTGAAGAATGATTAGATTAATACACAACATCAAACTGTCATGCTTCGGACTGTATTGTTATTCGGTGTTTTCCTATCTTTTATCGTTAAATGTGTAGACTTTGGTGAAAAGTAATACACTAATCAAACTATTGAAATCAACTTCAAAACATCTCTTATAGGTGCGTTGGTAGTCCACAGTAATGGAATGCTCGTCAGCCAAGCGCATAGATCGGGCTCGACTACAGACTGCACAGTTTGCCAGACAGCTAACTGTAAATCCAGAAACACCACTGCTACTGAGACTTCAAAAGCTTCAAGTCATATGTTCCACCCCGAATACAGTGAACGGAAAAACCACCTCCTGAGAGATGGGTGCCAAATAATCCATATATTATTTTTTTCGTCAGTGTATATTAATATATTCATTTCTGAGCAGCTTAAAAGGAAATTTTGTAAAAAATAAAAGTAAACAACTGCATACCTATGCCTGAACTGATGTAGATTATGACAATGAAAAGGATTTGTAACTGAAGAAAATGAAATTGATTGTTTTAGTTGTTGTTGGTGGTGTTGGTGATGTTTTCCCTGATATAATCTTGAATTGAGACTACTTGCTCCACCAGAACCCCCATTAACCCCAAAGATACTGCTATCACCAAAATATGATACATCTATTGGCCGATTATCTGTCGTGTAATCCTTATGATGTGGAGTTGTACACTGAAAATTGTGTGCTGGATATTCAGTATGCAAACCATCCGAGGTGATAAAAAAGAACCATTTCACATTTGGCCAATAATCTAATTGTTGTTGAAATCTTCGTGTTAAATTATGACCTGGATTAAAAGCTGTAGCTGGCAGACTTCGTGGGATTAAATCACAACATTCTCGTCGTGAGATACGACAACCATATACGAGATCTAACCTGGGATATGAAAAATAAAGATGATAATAATAATAGTGTTATGAAGGAATAAACCGGTACATGATATTAGGGTTATGCGTCGAGTGAGTGCAGGGTAAGGAGGGGAAATCAATAGACGGAGTTGTGAAGTTACACCGATTGAGATCGTTAGGACTTATGCATCCCTAGCCATCGCCTTCCTCGACGGGCAATATCAGCTATCTGATATAGGATCGATCGGGTTGGAAAAGAACCGGTAGTGGTCAAACTAAAACATGGCTTCATCAGTCAATGAAATCCACAACAGTTACTCCAAGCCAGTCGCGCTAGGAGGTGTAGACTCCCTGACTGCTTGGTTCTGGTCCTTGAGATGGTAAGAACCAATGAAGACCGGAGACAACTGGTGATATGGCTAGATCAAAATCGTCGTCCTTAGTGGCTGGTACAGATGCATTCACTTTGTGATCTAATAGAACTCCGTTGTTTTTCCATATTACTATTCTTTTTGCCTCATTCACACTTATGTTTATTACCTCTCTCCCTCTTTTGATTCTGTCCATTTTTGCAATACTGGCTAATTCTATTAACCTGTTTTTATTTTACGTAATGCTTTTGAGTCATCATTATTTTACAAACTTCTTGATTATGTAATAACTTGTTGCTAGCGCCTATGAATTAACTTACCTTGCATTGAGTAATTAATTTTCACCCCACCCTCAAAACTCAGATATCTTGTTACTAACATTTATCAATTAATTGTTTTGATGACTTGTCACCTCCTAATTTCACCCTCACCTCCTATATCTAAAATTGATTAACTAAAATAACTACTTGATTAGGAAAATTTTGATGTAAAACACCATATGTTAGTATAGAGCCAGCCAGCAATGATGATGAGGAACTAATTGAAAAGTGATGCATATTTCTTCGCTCAATCTGTTGTTTCTTTTCTAAGTAAGTAAATGGGTATCTGGAAATTACTAAATATACTTATTAAACTGTAGAACAAGTACTTCAAAATTTGAAATCTTTTAAAATGTTGTACAGTCATATATAAACTGAATTTTTTCGACCTGATATAAGAACGTGTTTATCATACTAGTGAAAAATCAAAGAAAAGAAAATATTTATGTGTGTATGTAAAGTTCTTGAAAACCAATTAGTTGAGAAAGAATTTCCTCAGTTGAACTAGTTATTCTACATTATATATATATATATATGTTTATCAAATTATACTACTAATAACAATTACATAGAATACTGGAATATAATTTACTAACCTCAAATCTCTTTCAAACAAGTTACAACAATCAAAACGTGGTGTAAGGGGTGTATCTTTATGTGATCTATATAAACGAACAGCCATATTTCGTGTACTCGTTACTATGTGCGTATAATCTCGAAGTCGTCGAGTTAACTGCGACGTGAGCTGTTTAAACAGAAAACATGACAAACACAGTACAATAAAACGATTCAGATATGTCATATGTTGTTTATTTTTTTAAATTAATAAAAAGACCTAACCTATGGTTAAAATTAGTGAACAAGAGTAGGATTATATAAAGATATGCACTACTCTAGAAGATGGTCTAAGAAATCCGAGGGAACTGCAAAAAGTCAATCATGCACGAATAAAACCGAAATAAAACAGAAGCATAGAATGACTCCTAAAGGTCAACGTAAATCAGAGAAGTGTATTTATTCCTTTTAGACTCATTATTAGTTTCCGAGGATTATATTATTCATTGTTAAAACATAAACCGGGTACACTGTGGACACTAACAGATGCGTCACACAAATATCCTCATAATTTGTGCACAAACTATGAAGTTTGAAGACACAGTAGTTCATAAGTTTAAGCATCACCCACACTCATATATATATATATATATGCAAATAGTCTCAGCAGCTGATCAATTAACCCACTTTTACCACTCAGTGGAATAAAATTATAGAATCAGGAAAGTTGATAAAGAAATTAATTTAGTGTGAAACAACGAGTTCAGCACTTCAGTTAAAAACTCAAGTATACCTAGAACTATCACTAAGTACTGACTACTATCCGAATGGAATAATTTTCTATATGTGAACTCTAACAAACAATTTAATCATATGGTCAAACAATATAACTGATGCATCATGAAGAGATATTATAAGGATAATAACACATTAGTTTTTTATGACATTTTTGTTTATCTTAACACTTACTATATCTAAACTCTGTGTTAAGTTGACAGTTGACAGCTTTTCATATTTCAATCCATCAAAGGCTGTTTGCATGGCGATAACACCCATTTCATCTCTAGCCAAACGAATAAACGCCTTCTCTAACTGTTTCTTGATATGATCATTTGAAAAATGCTGATTAGATCCAACTAGCACCTAGTTTCAAACAATCAAAATGAGTGGTTAGTTGAAAATTTTATCAAAACGAAATAAAATAACACTCGAAAAAGAATAAATAAACATTTTCGTGGAAATTTAATCCATTAACTTAAACACATAATGAGCCACTGACATTAATGAGACGCCTCGGCCTACTTCCACTAGTTGGTATCGAAAGTTCTCTTATGCCACACTACAGGTTACACTTAAAGTAACTTCGCTATAAACATCAATGAATGCAGTCCTATTGAGTATTTGATTTGACAGTCAATATCAACCTATTCATATTTCATCTTATTATATTTGATCAATGAAACTCACATAATTGGATTGACCTTCCGCTACGTAGACAAGACTGTACCGAGCATGAACCCATTTGTTTATATATATATATAAATTGAATTTAAGTAGAAAGAACTAACCAGAAATCATGAAATAGCTGAATGCGATGTTATTTTCTTTCAAAAAAATTTCAGTACCAATAAACATAAAACTATTTGTGACAACTAAGATGTTCGGAAGCTGTCTGAAAAACTCTAATAAAGATTACAGTTTGAGTCAAATAAATACTCTTAAATTCAAGTAGCAGATCAGTATTTCGTGTCAATTTTAGATCAAACTGTCGGGACATGTGATAATAGCCTCATTTATCTTGTACCGGCAAACCAAATAAGCAACACCATGCGAGGCTTATAAGTACATGTAAATCAAATCAAAATGTTAAGCAGTACAACATACCTCATATTCGCTAGTAATTATCAGCAAAACAGTAAAATATAGTGAACATCTGCATACTGAGGAGGAACTTTCTGAATGCAGTAACATAATGGCCACAACTAGGAAATATTGTAAGTGGACATCTGAAGTGGATGAAACAAAATGATCTTTGTTAGTTCGAATTAACGATTAGAATTATATCATCCATGGCTAATAGACAAGTTCGGAGGCATAGTATAATTGCTGAGCAATTTTAATACCTTATACGATATATATTCTTTAGTACAAATTTTTATGTATACATATATGTATTTGGCTGCAGGTAAACAAAACTGAGATCAATACCAAAGTGTTAGACTGTTCATTACCTCTAAATATTAGCAATAGGGAAAATAACTTCTTTCTAATAAATCCATTAGGGATTTGAAGGTCGAGCCTTAAATCGTTATAATGATCACTATAAGAACCTAGGCCGCTAACACTCTGTTCCTCCTTTGTGTCGGATTGGGCTGCAGCTATATATATATATATATATATATATATATATATAACTTGGGCACTGTGGTAGAATATAACTCCATTATGGATAAGATTTTATTTTGATAAATCACAGTGTTGTACAGTAATATTTATTCATGATGTTTCGAGCACAAATTATTGCTGTTCATAATCATATCAAGGCACTACTCACACATGGTTTTGCTTCATTTGTATACATGAGTAAAAATTGATTAGACATTTGAATAAAATCAATATAAGACAAAGTACACTCGGAAATAATCTTAGTGTTATCAATAAAATACTATAAGATGGGAAATAAGATGTTTTTATAGTAAAAATAAGTAACTTGTTAGAATGTTATAATGTGAATCGCATACATCTTAACATCACTTATTATCCTCTTATTTGACTGATAATAGCATCTTCCATATCTCTAGTATTTACGTTGAGTCATTTCTGTTGCATGTATTGGGTGTAGACTCGATGAACCAGGATTCAGTAATCAATCTCTCTCACGCTTCACCTACCTTTATTTCTTTTTAAAATTTTGAATCCGTCCCACAGTATTGTGTGTTAGTGCATGCAGTGCAATTGCTGAGTTTTTTCTAAATTACTTGTCTTCGTAGAATCAGTCATTCTAACCTAAGCTGAATTCTTATGTTCTGATAGTCTCACTACTCCTGATCCACTAGTTTGACCTATGCAGTTGACTTAACTCACAGTCTTTGCAAGGTATTTTGTAAGTTATATTACTTTGTCTAATTGGGTAAACCTACAGGCTCCTTTAGTCTAAAGAGCTTGTCCTACTTGAGTCAGTTTGTAGGTTTAAATGCCACCCTTATTCCTCCTTTATTGAGAATCCTGCGTAGGGTCTCAGATGTCACCTCCTTGAATGGTAAAACTGTAGATGCCTTTTCTTCTTTCCAATTCGTGTTATCCTTATTAGTTACCTCATTAATTTTATTTTGCTATTGACCTTTATTGATATTCCTAATGAATTTTATAGGATAGATATTTGACACCAACGCCTCTTCTATCTGTTTCATTCCATTATTTAGTCTTTTTATTCTACTACTTAGTGCTATTGCTCGGTTCGTTAAACACTCAACTAAGCCAGCCTTTACAGAAAGCGGATAGGATGATTTAAAATCTAAATATCTATTAACTGAATGCGTTGACTTTTTATAATCGCTAGTGTGCAGTTTACTTTCTTTTGTTCGTTTTATTTTACAATCTAGCATAGCTAATTCTCCTAGTTGACTTTCTGATTCAAATGTGAATTTTATTGCCTTCACTAATGAGTTTATATGCGTCAAGAAGCTAGAAATGTGTTCTGTTTTTAACACTTTGAAAGTGTCATCCAAATATCTCTAACATATTTCCGGAGTAGGATTAAATATATTTAGAGCACTTCCCAAGTTCAACATAAGGGCTTTAGGTTTTTGAAGTCTCAGTAGCAGTGGTGTTCGTTTGCTGTGTGGAGGTACCAGCTTCATACCCAACCTTACCTCTTTTCCATGTTTACTGTCGGATAGTACACTAGGTGAGGTTTAATAGTGCGTCGGCCAGGAATCGAGCCCAGACCCCGTATATGTGCATCCAATATTATTATTTACTAGCATAGAATGCATGAGGTACAAACTAGATACTTTTAATGCATGGAAGGAAATATAGCTAAGGTTATCACGTGCAAAGATTAAAAAAATAGTGAGCGAATTCGATAGGGAATTTCCAAAAGTTATTGCAAAGTATAGGGAATGAAGACAAAACCTCTTAAATCTATGTTGGTTATCAGTAGTCATCTATTTTCATTGGGATTGTCCCACCTTGTCTAGTACTTGTTTATTGATATCCTGTTGAAAATACTTAAGTTATTGTCACATTTAAGAATGGTCAATTAGATTCATATTGCATTTTATTGATAACACTAAGATTATTTCCGAGTGTACTTTGTCTTATATTGATTTTATTCAAATGTCTAATCAATTTTTACTCATGTATACAAATGAAGCAAAATCATGTGTGAGTAGTACCTTGATATGATTATGAACAGCAATAATTTGTACTCGAAACATCATGAATAAATATTACTGTACAACACTGTGATTTATCAAAATAAAATCTTATCCATAATGGATTTATATATATATATATCCGTGGTACCTTTGAAGGTATCACATACCCGAAGTTTTCACTTCAAAAATACGTGCATAAATGTCGGAAAAACACCTTACGGTTTCGATAAAGATATGCCGCTAATACATATTTCTTAAGTTTAGCGAAAGTTGACCTTCACTTCAAATGACCCCAATATCCAATATCGTTTTGTACGAGCTAGTATAAACCAATGTGATTTCTTTGTGCTCGCTTCTTTATTGTGAGGTATAGGTTCCTGATCTGCAGTAAACTTCTGCGTAGTTCGTTCCACCACTCGACTGTTGTAACTGTGCTGTGATTAATTATGTGTTGTTTGTTCCATGTGGTGTGTTAAGACTTTGTTACTACTGTGAATGAAGTTGATGCTTTCACCATTTAGTACTCCGGTGTCGTCGTCAAAAGAAAAGAATTCATATAAACGGTTTTAATTAGTATAGGTTATTCATACTAAAAGACAGAAGAGGAACTAAAGAAAGCGTAAAAACAGACAGCCAATTAAATTTTAAGCTGAAATATATGTATACAAACTTAAATATATCTTTAAACATGTATATAATGTCAGTAATAATAATAGGTGTAAGTGTTGTAGTTGGAGAGAGAGAGAGTATAACGAGAGAAAATGTAAAGAAGTAAAACGACGAATTTAGTTGTCTACCGCTGAATAATGTATGAGATTTTAAGGGAATACGCAATCTGGATGAAGTCCTTGTGTCGCTGAATGATTGTTAAGCCTTCGCTTAAAGGTGTCCACAGACGGTGTCATAGCTACACCTGCCAGTAGGGAGTTCCAGGGACGCAAACTAGCAGTATAAAGAAATGGGAGCTCACCCGGGTCCTTGCACTATGATGAGCTGTTCTTCTGGGATATCCACGAGGGAGTCTATACCTACTCAATAGCAGAACACTTTCGTTCAGGTGATTCTGGTCATTTGTTATTTTGTAGGCAGTAATCAAATCCCACCTAAGCCGATGATAGCTATTTGTGAATGAGCCTAATTTCTTTAGCCTCTCGTCATATGATTTATTTCGGAGACCAAACACTCCTTTTGTCGCCTGTCTTTGGACTCTTTCCAAGAAGTCGGCGTATCTTCTAAGCAGTGGGGGTGAAATGATATTATGCACTTCAAGGTGTGGTTTGATGTATGTTTCGTACAACCTTAAAAAGAGCTCAGGAGTGAGTTCACCTAACTGTCTATGTGTAAATTGCATGACCGCATATGCCCTTGCTGCATCCACCGTTTAATTTACGCTTTTGACCAACTTTTCTTTATAACTAGACTTAAGTCGTGCTCCAACGTTGTGCAGGTCAAGCTCTCGTTACACAGGGTAACTTGCATTCTATAGCTTACATGTGAGCAGTTTCACTGCTTCGCACCTTTTCAGGTTGAAATTCACACCGTTGGCCACCGCTCAGCCTTCCGGAAGCTTTAGATCTGCCTGCAGCCTATCTGAGTCTTCCGAACACTTCATTCCCCTCCATATTTTGCCTCATCAGAGTAAAGAAGAGTAGGGAAGCTTAGATGGCATCCCAGGTCATTTATAAAAATCAAAAACATCAGTGGTCCTAACATAGAACTCTGCGACACTCCTGATGACGAGCATTGCCAAGATGATCGAACTTGACTGACCTAAGTGCAAAATTGCCTTTCAGCTATGTAGTCGTCCAACCATGACAGAAGCAGCTCACTTATACCTCCCTGACTTATTTTGTGTAGGAGGTCATGGTGAACTGTGTCAAATGCCTTCTCAAAGTCTAGGAAGGCTATATGGACTGGAACATTCATATCCCAACATTATGTCTAATCGTCCCAAGGTGATAGTGGATGAGTTACACAGGATCTGCATCGCCTGAAATCGTGTTGGACCTCATGGGGTTTATTAGTCCTATCGAGGTGCCCCTTGATGGGATCATGAATAATAATTTCCAGTACTTTTGCTACTACTGGGAGTAGGGCTGCTGGCCCATAATTAATGCCATTTTTCCTATTTCCGCTCTGGAAGATCGGAGAAAGAATGGCTCTTTTTCACTCCCTTGACAGTTTCCCCGAATCCGTCGAGTGTTGAAGCAAGTCACATAAGGGTCTACAGAGAGCTTCGACTCACTGTTTCAGAACAGATGGTCTGATGTCGTCACAACCTGGGGACTTCCCAGGTGTGAGTCTCTGCAGCTTCCCTAGTACTAATGCCGGGTTTATTTGTGGAGTAGCCACTCGGATTTTGACTGTTATGACAAAAAGGACGGTATCCGAGATTGTTGTGTGGATAATCTCTTTTATCTCTTCCCAGTGTTCATCCACAGATAACTCATTCCATGCTGAGGACCATTCTGCGTCGGACAAAAGCCTCTGCATTTCAGCATAGTCCGCCTGTCTATAGCGCAGACATAGTTGCGTAGCGTCACACTGTGAGCGCTCGCAGAAAACAAGATCACACCTTGTGACTGCGTAGTCACTACTTCCTAATGTGGTCATGATCTGGACATTTTTGACAATTAGTTGGTTACCAGTTAGAATATAATCTAGTTTCGATGACCTTCCACTAGAGCACCACCTAGTGTCGTCTCCACCACTCTTTGTCAGTCCTGTATTTCGAACGGCTTGCAGTATGTTTCGACCGAATTTTCCCTGATCATACCACGAGCCAAGATTCAGTGGTGAGGCATTGAAATCTTCAACTACAGTAATTTGGTCATAGCCCCTGTCCTGTATCCCTGTGATGGTACTGAACAGTAGCTGGTTGTGCTCTGCCCCATAGGTGGGTGATCGTTAGATACCACCTAGTAAGTGTTTAGTTAAGCCGATGGTTAAGTGACACCATATGTCATGGTGAGCCGTTCTGATATTAGCCAGGTTAAGTCTCTACTGGATGTAACTCAAAACAAGCCTTCAGATTTAGATCTGCCTGACTGTCTGTTAAAAAACATCCTAAAATGTCTTCGGACAGCTTCCTAAAGCTGGAAATCTGGTTGACTGCTTAGCTGCGGAGGTGATGATGCGTATAGCCTCTTCTCATTAGGCCACAGTTTACACCATTCCTGACCCAATGTCTCTGAAGACCATGAAGCGCAAAATCCTGAATCGTTGCGGTATGGCTAGTGTTCCATGTTAATGGAAAAGACTTCGTAAAATGTCGACCCAGGCTTATTGCCTCATCATATTTAGGTTCAGTAATTCCTTTGATGCTAGTAAGTTTACTAAATATCAGGATCACTTAAGAGTGAACAGTAGTTATATATCTGTAACGCAGAATAATGCGTTGTAATAGTCTGACCACCTCATCTGGCTTAAATTTACCAAAAATGGATCGTGTACAGCAACAGTCACCTGGTACTGACAGTAGCATTCAGCAAACTACACAACGGCCACACGTGCCAATGGAACTAGGAACTGATTTAGATATCAGTACCTCTGTAAATAAAGCCTCACCGAGAGATGTTAAAATAGCTAGAACTGCTACAAGTTGTTCTAAGAAATTACAACCCAAACGTGGTAACCTCACCATGATGAACAAATTTAGCAGGACTGTGATTATGATAACGAAGAATACTTTGGATTCAGTAAGCCTGCTGAGAGTAAAAGTGTCAACAAACCCCACACTTGATACGAAGAAATCCCCTTGAAACACAAGTATATTTGGTGGTTTTCAGCATCCTTCACCTTATAGAAACTCAGGCCCTAAAACCCCCAAAGTTTTACAACCGAAGCACTTTCCTCCACAATATCCTTCTAGTTATAAAAACAACACGGAGATGTGAACCGGTATGACGAATAGCAGACTATTGGGTCGACCTTTTGATGCTATGCTTTTTAATCCATAACCCAGGGCCAACCACTACTACTCTTATATCCAGGAGCACACGGTAAATTTTTGGGTGTCCTGAATCACTGGTACAACGCATGGTACCTGGGACCACCTCATCGTGCTCTAGCCCCGATGTATGAACACCCAGTCCGACCTCCTTGTCATTCATAAACTCTTCCAGTGCTGACGCACAAACAGAATTAGGTCATGGTGATGTTTCAAGCCAGTTTGTAATATCCCGTGACTTATTCACGATATTGCTAATTAATGAATGTTCCTTAATAAATAAGATATATGAGCTAAGGACACTATTAAAAATCGCCGAGCCTCCTGTAGCTCCGATACATGAATCATAATGCTCATCATCCATACTTGATGTGCATACATGTATAGATGATTGCACTGTAGACAGAAGACCATTAGTTCAGCGAAGATTTTCTTTTCGGCAAATTACACTGTACACGGTGAAAATAGAGATTGCAAGCGTTGTGGGAGATGTCTCATATATATGTACATAACTCATTCGTAGTCAGTAAAGTGGAAGATGAAATATTGAACGAGGTACCTGATTCACCCTACGTCGTCTTACTTGGAGATAAGTGCATTTGTCGCGCAACATGCTCAACCCAAAACACTGATACGTTATTAGCTAAATCATTTGCACACGCCTCCTCGCCTAGCACTAATTACAGAGTAATTGCAGGGAATTTTAAAATTCCAGACGTCAACTGGTTTAGTAGTTCCAACCCGAAAAGCTTCGACGAATTACTTGCCACTACCGATTGATGTGGATGGCAATAACACATCCAGACAGCTACCTGTGGTGACAACATGTTGGAACTAGTGTTTTGTCACGACGCAATCCCAGTCTCCATAAATGTTGGTGACAGGCTTTCCAGTAGTGACCGTTGAACGCTACTCTTATCCCTGTCCTTCTCACAAATAAATACAGGAAACAAACAAGATTCGGGTAGCAAAACATGCCCTAGTTACGAACATATAGACTGGGAATTAGTCCAAGAACTCATTCAACGCTGTCAACGGGAAGACTAATTTACCACCAACTCCCTGGAGGCTTCAGCGTCCCCACTTTATAGCAATATTACCCTGCTTCTAGATACTGTTGCTCCTAAGAAGATAGTTAGATTAAGTTAGCACCACGCTGAATACATCGCAAGGGTATACCGCAACAAGTAAAGGAAGTTGATGAAACAGTACTATTCCAACAAGGATATATCACTACTGCACTCAATCCACGAGTCACTTGAATCTATCAAGCTCCTACGTTCTCAAAAGGACCTTGACGAAGAGTTAAGGGAACTTCAAAGCACCTTCAAAGTTTATAACCTAACACCTCTTTAAAAACGAATGCAGTC